CGCAAAAACTAATCGAACAGAATAGGTATACATTTTGAAATAAAATTTTATTTTGTTTTTTGTTTGGAGTTATTAAAGTTGTCTAAAACCCTGATTAATTATAATTTATAATATTCATAGACAATAGTTTAGGCCACTGGAAGCCTGGGAACGTGCATATTTAAGGAGTTGTGTTTGGGCAATTCTTTCATTCTTGCGGTCACTGTTCGTCTTTGAGTGTGTAGTAAATTATCATTAGTGTGTGTATACTCCCCAACCATCAATCGCAGCAATAATAGCGAAAACAAATATTTCCGTGGTCGGCTATTACGCATAGTCATGCATGTATAATTTACTATTTAGTCACTAGATCAAAATATTCAAAATCGATTTATGGACGTAAAATACCTGGGTACCTACCTGACAATTTTTCAAGTATTTCCAAAGGTTTGATTTTAAAAATGAATAAGATGTTTGAATGCATAAACAAGATAACTTTGCATCGGAACAGTTTTTCAATTTTATCAATTTCTTGACGAGAATAATTATTTTAAATTTTATATATTTTTCAAATTGTATAATATTATATTTTATAATATCGATAATTATTAGAAATAGTTATTGAATGTGAGCTCCGACCGATTTAAAGTAAACTTGTCTACCAAATCAAACGTCATTACATTTTTTAAATCATACCATTTATATTTTGTAACTTGCTTAGGTCATTTTGATGAAGAATTGATAGGGTTTTGCAAGGTTAGGATGGTTAGGTGGTTTCCTACTATACAGCAGAGTGGTTATTTATTCGCCATTTTTTTAAACGTTATTTTTTAATTTTTACCTATATTACTATGATTTTATTCAATTCCAGGGACACCACGGCTCATGCGAAAAATTAAATTATAAATGTAATTATTTACAATGGGATGCGCCGGATAATTTTTTTCATTCATAGTAATGGCAATGCGCTAAAGATAATCACATCATGTGATTCTCAACCAATTAGTGTAGATAGTGGCACTAGAACACTAGATACTAGGTGGTAAAAAAAAGGTCCATGAAAAAATGTTTTGCCTATGAACCTATTTGATTTATACATATATGGCCCACTGGTTATTTGAACTTGAGACTAGTAGGTACCAAATTGGTTCCCGTTTGAAAAAGATATTTATTAAGGCAAGCTGAATTGGTTGCTGTTTATGTTTAGATCAAATAGTTACAATTTTCATTTCTAATAATTATTTTGTAATATTATATCATATGACTGCATGATTATAAGAGAAAACTTTATACATGACAAATAAAATAGGTAGTTTTTAACTGCGTTCACGATACATACGCATTTTCGTTCTCAATTTTATAGACTTAGGACTGTAGACTTTAAAGTAGGCTTGGAAGTCAACCAGTCATTACTTAGGTTTAGGTTATAAAAAAAAAAATAAATATATGTAATATATAAATTCTTTAGCGTTGAATGGAACGGTTAGCAACAATTTGCAGTCCTATCGATATTTTTGTTAAATCTAGCTCAAACCTTCGGTAGGAAATTACTGTCTATTATTACCTATGTACCTATAAGTATCATACACGTAGTCAAAGACTATATTTATTGCTATTAATCAAGTTATATCTATCAATAACACGTGCATATGATTTCATATTGCAAAAGAATGATTAAAAATGAAAATTGTAACTATTTGCAAGGCTGGGCAAGTTAATGATATTTTTTAACTCAGTTAAGTTAAATTAAAATCTAAATCAAGTTAATAGTTTAAAGTTAATCCAAAATTGTCTTTCAATTGAACTAAGTTAAGAGTTAACCAACATTTAATATTAACTTTTTAACTCCTAATTAAGTTAGTTTAAAAAAAAAGTTTCTTGTTTACATTTAGGTAAAATAAAAATAATTGGTTTATGTTATTAGACCAAAAAACTATTATTATTTTATGTGTTTCAAAAGGTAACAGTACACATTAGTTTAGCATACTTACAACTTATGAAATGTGTACCATCAATTTGTATTTCTACAATAGTTCACTTAGTTTAAAAAAAAATGTACACTTTTAATAAATAAAAAAATCATATGCATACACATTTGAAATTGTATTTATTGTTTTTCTACAAATATTCATAATGATATAAATAATAATAATATTTATAATATTTTTCATAATAATATTCAAGTATTAATTGATCATTATTTTAAATTTTATAATAATAAAATAGCATTATAAACTTTACTTTAAATTATACATTTAAATTGTATACATATAATAAAATATATTTTATATAGTTAAAAGTCTAAAACTCCCCTGTAGACTGAATATAGGTAGGTAATTATATATTAAAAAAAAAAAAATGATAAGAATCAAATAACGGCGACGATGCCGAAAAATAACGTGCATTGATAATATTCGGAATTTCATAATATAGGTAAGTATTTATATTGAATACGAATTTGAAAACATAATACATAATAATTAAGATTAAAATTAATTTAACTTTTTTAAACATAAAATTGACTTAAGTTAATTAAAAGTTAATTCAAAAGCTCTTAAAGTTAATATATACCTAAGTTAAAAATCATAAAAAATATTAACTTAACTTTAACTTATTAACTCTTTAATGCCCATCCTTGACTATTTCGCCTGAACACAAATTTGGCTTAACTTATTAAAATACATTTTCAAACGGGAACTGATTCGGCCAAATGGAAACCAATTCGGCTACTCCAGGGCTTGAGACCACTAACCTGGTACAACCCGAGCAGACTAAGGTTCAATGTACGATGAATTGTAGGGACATATTATTATATAGGTACTATAATATTATAGACTCTAAGATACGAGGCTATATTATAGGATATTAGGCTCGGTATAAAATTGTGTCCTATATGAATCAAAAAAAACTATAATAATATAGTGTCTGACGAAAGATTTTACAACTGTGCAAATAATCAAAGTTTATAAGTCTATAATACCCGTAGTTAAGTTTTCTTAACTTTGGGCATTCAAATAAAGCTATGATGTCGATAATTTAATGGTATGTATAAAAACTGATTCGATTGAACAGGGCGAAGAAACTAAAAAGTAGGGCTTACTAATTACTTTTATAATGTTTGTACTCAGTATAGGCTTATTATATACCTATCTAACCTACCCATCCTGTTTATTTATTTGTTAAGCTACCCGGAGGGTCTTTAATAATAATGATAATAACGATCTTTAACAAATATATTTCAATTGTGTGTATATATATATAGACATAAAAGAAAGAAACATTTTGGTAGATGTATACAAAAATGTTTGGTTTATCATTCAGTGGAGAAGAGAAACCTCAGTCTAATAGTCTATACTAAGTCATATTATGGTCTTTGGTATTTAAGACGCCTTATTATGTTTTGATAGTTATCGAGTAGGTGGTTGAAATGCTGCTAGATTGGTGTCTTGATCCAGCCTTACATTGTATTTGCTGGCAAACTAAAATTTCATCCTGGACTGAGATCTTGTTTATTGAGAATATATATTTTTTCTTAAAATGTAGGCATGTACAAAACTTCAGGATAGTATTTTGCGATTACTCACATGGTTACATATGAACTATGCGATTTGAAATTAAGATAATTCAATATTTTACTTTAATTATTATTTATTATTCCTATAAACTTTTTAACATAGTGTTAAATTATATTATCAATTTTTTACTGAAATTGGGAATTAGAAATTGGGAACTGTGATTCGTTTGGGTCGTTAGAAATATTTTTATGTTTTGTTGTTTAGACACTTTACGTAGTGTATTAGTGTGACAGCCACTAACAAGTACATCATCATTAGTGTGACTAGTGTGAGTGGATGCATTCGGAACCTGCCGCGGTAAGCACTCACACGTTTTGGCATGACATAAAAACTAATTTCCAACATGCCGATTGATGTATCCGTTTTTACGTCTACTTGAGATAAATTTTTCCACATTTTTGATTCCATTGCCCTAAATTCTAAGACAATTTAACTTAAAAAAAAAATGAATTTTAAGATTGGTAACCTGGTCAACTCAGTAGAATGCAGCCCGTTGGAATGTGTCTGCTGCATCTGTAATTGGAGTCTGCCCGTATAGGGATGTTCATTTTCATATTATATCGTTCAGCTGAATCGTTGGTATTTTAGTTATTAAGCTACCAATATAAAATTATTACAGCTCAACAGTTACAAGTAAATTAACAATAATATATTTAAAGAACTTAAAACGAAAAAAAAGATGTGAGGGTGTTGATATCAAGTACTTAAGACTTTTTATATAAGTATTTAAAATTCGAAATTAACTATAATGGTATTTATTATTTATTATTTATTATTACCTACCTACATTTTCCACTATATTTCCGTATCCAAATTTTTGGATTGAGAGTGTTGTTAAGTGGTTCAAGTAAGAGCCTTAGCTGTTCTTCTTAATTTTGTTGGGTTTTCTGAAGAAAATAGCATTAAAAAGACAATAAAAATAAATATAAATGTATATTTTATTTTTTAATCATAAATAAATACATCATGGGTTTTATAATCGGAACTTGTAATTTTGAATATACAATATTTATATAATTACATAATTTAACAACATAGTCGTCACTATCGCATTGAATGAAGTAACAACTAATAACTGAAACAATGTTGGGTAAAATTTCAAGTATTTGAAACATTTGTTTTATTAAACTTAATTTGCTAAATGTAACATGCATAAATACAGTGTTCCAAAAGCTTGGAATAATAATAATTTCCATAATTTTGTTAATATTTACAATTTGTTAAATTAGAATATTTCAATAATATAGTCACGTTTTCACGAAACGTAATGTAGGAAAATTGACCATCGGCCAATGCCAGAATAGTTCAATAGTGCATTATACATTAATAATAATAATAATAATAATAATAATAATATACATTATAACAAAGAAACAAATCGACAGCAGCGGCGTTGAAAACGATTTTTTTTACCAAAGTCTGTCGTGACCGCACCATTCAAACGCAAATGTTCCCGTAACAAAGGCTGACACCATGGTAAGTACAAGTACAACAATATGTCAATATATAAATCTTAAAGCTATTTTTAGTTAATGATAATAGTGATACAATTTGTCGGTGAACGATTTGTGTTTACGGCTGTTGTCCGGGCGGTCGCCTGTCTCTGCAGTAGGTACATTAAAAACAATAAAATAATCATTATATTTTTATAACGCAAATAATAATAATAAATAAATTGAAGTCCCTATAATACGACGCGAAACATAAAATGTTATATTATTGGCAAATATTATACAACGAGTACGATCACAGTAGACATCCAGTCTGTTGATGAGCGAATACCTAAATTGGCGAGTAGATATTCATTTATACAAAAAAAAGTTATTTTAATCGATTTAAAAATATCTGATTAGTTAATTTTATTTTTCGATGTCGATGTGAAGAGATATTCAACCGATGGCTTTGGCCCAGACCGCGGTCAACGCGGCCACCGTAACTATGTGCATGTGCTTTGGACACGCTGACGATCTGGCCACTTTGTTCTTGGAGCTCTTTCCAATTGGTATATCGCCCTGAAGCTCTGGAAAAAAGAAAACCACGACATTTGAAATTGTGCAAGCGTAAAAAAAGTCCTTGAACTGATAAAAAAAAAAAACCGCGATTGCTCAATAATTTGATTCCGCAAACGCTGCAGGTGGGGAGGTCGGACGATAATTCTCAATTTTACAATTACAACGCAGCGGCTTTAAATCCGACGAAACGCGGTAATTCTACGTATACAATATGGCAACGTCGTTTCTAATTTTCAAGTACGGCGGTTACTGCCATGGGAGGTATAATTATTGAAGGGGAGCCTTAAGTCGCCGATGCATTGTGTAGTGCTAAGTGAATGTCTGCAGTTATTGTATACAGGATATTCAAAAGCTCGTTATGTTAGACGGTATCGCGATGCTACGCGCGGCTTATACGCGAACCTTTTAAATATTATGTAGATACAAAATATAATAATAAGAATAATGATAATGTTAGTAATAATAATATTATATTATAAATTATAATGCACGAGGGGCGATTACAACAGAGTCTTGCGCCGTATTGTACTATTATGTGCATACCCTATTTACCTTCTTGTATGGGCTATATATATATATATATATTGAAACGACTTGATGGTTACAATATATAATTATAATATACGTCCGATACGAAGAAGAAGATCTCTGCCATATAGCGGCGGCGACGACGCGTGCGAAAGAAAAACGAACGTCAATCGCGTTCAAGAATCTTCCTATTTCTAAAACCGTTTTACCTTATCTTCGATATATCTGGAGACGTGACGGCCCGGACTATACCTAGCTATGTAATATGTAAATGTGAATCCGTTCGAGTATGGAATGTAATTCATATTTATATTCTTTCCGCCCGTTGCAAAGCGTTAAACGATCTAAACGTAGTAATAATAGTAATAGTTGTTTATATACAGTGTGATTCATCAAGCATGATGCTCTTCCTTTTTTTTGTTTGAAAAATGCGGTTGTTCAAAATCTGATTTCTTAAGTTTTAAAATATATATTTCAAGGCCATACTTTCATTACTTGACATTTTTCATACTCATTAAGGAGCGTCCTTGTCGTGAAACAATAATATCTGTTTTTCAACCGAAAAACACCGCTGTTCAACTGTAAATTATATACAGTAGATAATTTTTCTGAAAACGTTGATGTACCAGAATCATAATTCTTACGAGTAGTATTTTTGTTATTTAACTTTGTGTTAAGTTGGGATACAAGATCCACGGTGATGGGTTTGTACTATATGGGGGCTTTGGTGATTTGACAATTTTACTCGTTAATATTAATCCATCAGTATACCTAAATAATTTTTAAAAATGGCCCAAGTATAATAAATACTAGATTCAATTTCACGTCTATTTTTAAGGATTATTATTTTTAATACAAACATTTCAACACATAAGAAATTACTCATTCAAATTTAGGGTTAATTACATCAACATTTTCAAAAAAATTATCCACAAAATAGTTTACAGTAAAAATGAGGGGGGGGGTGAGCATGCTTGGTGAATCACTCTGTATAAAATAATATAAAGGTAGAGCAGATATAGTAATAATATGACGATATAGGTTTATGCGGCCACGGTGGGGGTTATTTATTTTTATCTTAAATCGGCGACATAAGTTGTCACATCATAGATGGTACTTCGCGGGTTTCGGTTTTTTTTCTTTAACCAATCCAGCTGATTTAAACTTTTGTTTTTCGGAACAATATTATATAGCAAAAACAGAATAACCCAAAATTTCGGATGAAATTGATGGTGCTTACTCGTGAACCTCCCCATTTTTGTCAAACAAAATTTGGAAGACCCGGTGTTATGATGTATAGCAACCATGTTAAACATAACTCAAACATTCCTAGATACTTAGTTTATTTGAAATAAAAAAAAATGTTGTTTATTCAGCTGCTTCCTTGAATATGTTTGCATATTCAATTTTACGATCATTCGAATAATTAATAGTTAAATAGTTAGGGTCAGAAGCTGAAAATATAAATATAAGCTCTGAGAGTCAGAAACTTATTTTGGGCGTGTTCTAGAATTTCAGACGGTGGTGGAGGGGTTCGTAAGTGAGGGGAGGGGTGGGTCCAGTACAGTTTCATGAGTCAGAGAGTGGTGCACACCCCCAGGGTTTTATGGTAACTAAGAACAATCAAACTAACAGATTTGAATAATATACCTACTGCCGAAATAATTAACAGGTAGTACTTTTAAAGGTAAATACAAGAATTTTCTCGAAAAGTTATAACGACTTCGGGAATATATTTTTTAGATTATTTGTTGTGATTACAAACAATTATATTTTTCCAATTTTTGTATCGCTATTATTATTTAAGTTTTTTGAATGTCAGAATATGTTTTTAATTTCTTATTCGGAAATAGAACATTTTTCGAAAAATGTTAATGTGCATTAATTTCTTATTTGGAAATAGAACATTTTTCGAAAAATGTTTTGGTATAAAAATCGTAAATCGTAATTTTAAATGAGTAGTAGTTAGTAACTTACGTATTGGCAGTTTGGCACCTTCATACAATACATTAATACATTAATATTAAAATAATAAAACTATTGTCACTCTACATATCATTTTTAAATTCTTAGGTATAACTGAGAAAATAATAAACGAATAACTAATCAAAGAGATGAATATGAACAAAAATTATTAATGTTTAAAAGTAATTGCAATATCATAAATTGTCACATTTTCACATGTTTTGTCAAATTTCACGGGTCATGCATGTGCAGGATATGCACAACCTGTAAACAGGCCTATGACACCACATACTATTATACTAATACACGAGGTATTGTTTTTATTGTGTTTTCAAACGTAAGTTTGGTTAGGCTAGATTTACAAGTTATAATGCAATTCAATCGTCGCTCATCGGAAAACTACTGCTCAACGACGGACGACGGTGCTGTTGTTATTCAAACTCGCAACTGGTATAATATTCCGCGAGTATATTGTGATGACGATAATAATAATAATAATAATAAAAATCATCCGGAAGGAAAATTTATCTAACAAGTTGCAGTGGAGAAAGCAGCGTCCAGCGGGTATAGTGTGCTTTGTGTGTGTGTGTGTGTGTGTGTGTGTGTGTGTGGCAAGTTTTACGGCAGAATTTTCTCTCGTTCTTGTCCTTTTTTTCTCTCTCCGAAATGAGGTATCGCGAAACAAATGGCGTCGGAATATAAAAACAGGAAAACCTCGGAATAACAACCCTTTTTAGAGGGTTACTGCTCGTTTATAACTCTGGACGTGGCCGGTCCCCGTACATACGCACGCAATAATATCATGTGATGTTGCACAGCGACAGACTACACCATCGCGATTTTTATGAAGTACCGCAGAGTTATTTCACTCCCTCTTCTAGTGAGTTTATTTTTCTCGAGGCCGTAAACTGATTTCATTTGGTCGTAATTCGCTCTGTCGAGAATCTAACGCAGTAAAATATCACTTTTATTTATCTTAGTACGTTTTGAATATTCAAATTGTGTTCTGTATCATAAACATCGGTCTACCTACCTACCTACCTACCTACCTACCTACCTGACCTAACCTATGTGGCACAATACACGAGTAATAAATAATAATACTATGTCGTAGGTATATATTATTTTATAGTGATTGTTAAAACAAATTGTCCAATGTACAAGCTGCGCATTAGTAAAATATCAGAATATGCTTGGCGCGAAGAAACAACGAAATGTTTCTATGACCGTGAAACTTGTGGACAATATATAGTTATGTAATAATATGCACATACAAGTGCATGTTGTAGTATCAACATAAATTAGAAACATAATTTATTTCTTATATTATATGGTCACAATGTGAGTTCCCTTAGAGGAAGGAAACTACATGGCTGGTATGGCCGTATGGGTATTTCTTTACAATAATTAATTATTTCCATGGACGACTATGATTTTGGATTTTGGCTGTCTTGTTTTATGCAAAAAACAAATAAAGGGGTTTTTTGACAGTATTGCAGATATTATTGCATGAGTTTTTGATTATATATTACATTTTTACAATCGTCAGTTGATAGTTTTTACACTTTTTAATTCATATTTTAACATTTCTATTGCATATTTGTATAGCATATACCTACTTAATAAGGATTATGAAGTTAAATTTTTTGAATTTGGCTTAATTAATCTTCCTTTGAAGTAGTAAACAAACTACCTAAGTATGAATAAAAAAATTCAAATCATTAAGTGTAACAGGTTATTGAAATTAGCTCTGTGTTTTTGATTTTCCGATTTTGAACTGTAGGATATTACCTTTTCTGCGAATTTTGACAGCTAGCGTGAAAAAAAAATGTTTATGATAATTTATCATACAATTTACTTGATATTGTTAATATCATTTAAAAAACCGATAATGAAAAAAAATAATTCTGGAGGTGGGTGGGCTGTGGGCACGCGCCCCAGCAGTGTACCCAGTAATGGCACTGCTATTAACAGCGGTGTTATTTTCACTATTACGTCACAGGAAAAAACGAATTTTTAAAAACAATAATAATACACGATATCTATATTATAATAATAATGATAAAATAAACATTTATAGAGTTGGCTTTTACAGTTTAATTTTGCAAAAGTATCTGAGCTCTGAAGAGAGTTGTTTTAACAAAACTAAAATAGTGTACTCGTCAAGAAGTCATTGTATCAACATTAATTAACCCAAACACTATTTTTGTCTTTTGAATTATTATTAAATTGTCGATCGATAAAACAATTATTAATTAGATTGTATCAACCAATTGTTATGTTTGTTGACTATTACTGTAATCGTTTTTTGTTTAATATTACAATAATTTTTCTTTCCACCCGCGGAAATTAGTCTCGTAAAAAGGAAATTCCCTTAGGAGTATATGAACAGTTATATCCTTACCCAAAAATTACATCGCGCCGTTGTTATAATTCAAAGGGGCATTGGTATCAATAAGACGGCGCAGCTGAAAACACACCAGTAGAATTTTAATGAATTTTCCACGCAACATGTTTTCTAACTAAACTATATTTTATGCTCGGTTTCCAAAGACGTTTTCAGTTTATTTGTGTACGTATTAATTGAAACTACTGTTTATAAAATTAGTTTTAATTTGTAAAATGCCAAAGGGTACACAGCCAAAATAAATTCTCGAAAAAATGTATAAATACTGTTCTGCTATATTGCGTAGGTAACATATTTTAACGCATCGTACCTACAAAACGATGCTGAATACCAGTACAGACGACTTCTTGCAGGTGAAATTGACACGAAAATGATTTTATTTAATATTGTATACAACAGTTTCGGACTTGTATTATATCATTATAGTATTGTATAATAATTATCATGATTCGAGATTGTACGCGTTGACGTTTTAATGAATTATATTATGTTTTCGTGTCGTGATGGATGCTGACACTTGTTAAACTGTTACGGTCATGAAAATACTATAATAGTTTATTTACGAGGTATAGTATACTATTGTAGTTTATTTTGTAAGCAGTATAGAGCCTACTGTTATATGAAAGCGTCGTCGTATCATTACGACAGTAACATAGTGCCGCCTGGTATTTAATTAGTGTATTCAAAAGTGTAAAAGTGTAATTATATTATTTTAATGTGTTATAACTATGATAGGTATTACACTAACAGTAATTTAATTTCAGTTAATTAATAGTTAGGTGTATATATAATAATCAACATTAGTGCAAAGTTAAATAACAATGTATGTATTTTCTTTGATTGTGTCACCTGCAATGTGTGAATATTTGTGCACTATTATACACGACGACAAGTATTGTCGATCTGGCTCATGATTGGGTATAGTAAATTCCAATGGGCGGCCTCAATGCCCCGTACAAACTTAAAAAAATATTTAATTTCATTTTAATACTTAACAAGAAAATTATTTTATTTTTAGTTGAAAAATTATTTATTTCTATCATTTATCATAATTATTAAAAAAAATTATAATCAATAATGTTTTACATTATTTTCTTGCAATATGAACACATTAAAAGAATAATTGTAATCTGGTAGTAAAAAAAAAAGAAAAAAAATGTAATAAATATAGAACATTTATTGCTGGAAGATCCTAACAAATCAATAATTTTATATTTGCTTAAAAATTGAATGATATATTCTTAAAAAAAATAGATCAGTTAAGAGAATGTCAGCACAATATTTGTGTTCTCTCTCAGACCCACGTCAACATAGATAAAATGAATTGACGTAAAATGGTTTTTTTATGATTTTTCTGAATAATTGTAGAGTAAAATCACCCATTAAAAAAAATAAAGAGGATAATATTTTTGAGGACTTGACTTTTAACACATCGGTTTTATATTTTATTATTATTTGACTTAATCAAATAAAAATAATTTAAATGGATATTAAACTGAGACAATATTTAGACAAATTGAAATGTCATATCTTTCAAAAATTTATTTTCTATACTTTTATAATTGGGTGATTTTACTATAAGATTACACACAAAAAAAAAATGATTATTGTGATATTGTTGGCTTGTCGAAAATCTAGGTTTGGGTTTTTACATTTTTAGTACCCAGTACAATATAAGTTGGTATTTTTTTTAATGCTATGTATAATGTATTAAATAAACTAGACATAAATTGTTATAATGCTCAATGTTTACAAATTGATTAGATTGGATCCACCAAGTCATGAGTCACGATTAATGAGTGATTTAAATCTAAATTTTCCCATTTGGCTATGTGTTCTTGACATTGAAAAATATTCAACATTCAAGAATATTCTTCAGGTAATGTCTGGTTAGATCCGGGTGGACCAGAACGATACCGACAATAATGGTACGGTTATAAGTCTATAACAATTAGGATACCTGCATAATTAATATTATATCATGATCTTGTATTATTTACACTTAAAAGTTTGGGTGAATAGTTAATGTCGTAATTAGACAATAAATCGACTGCTAAAACGTACTTAGTAATAACTAATAAGTGTTTAGCTTCAGTCACGACAAAAGTATCCTAGCAGCTGAATTTATAGTACCTACATGCAATTCTTAAAAAAATATTGTTTAGTAGTAATGATTTTTTTGAAAATATTTTAGCTTCACAAATCACAATGTACCTTTTTAGGATTAATTTTTTTCTTTTTTCACATATTCGTTCATATAATATGATGAAACTTATAATGATGTATCAGATAAAGAGAATTGAAAAAAAATGATTAAAAAAATACGATGGTAATATTTATAATTTTTAGTTGTATAGAAGATTATCTTAAAAAATTAAATCGTAATTGATGCAGACATTTTCTCGTTAAAAACATACAAATTTCTACTTCCTATTTATATTCCAAGTTTTCGATAATTATAAAATTAAATCGAATGTATTAACATTTTTCACCAAGTAAAAGGTGCTAGTCATCTACTGTTAACGTGTTTAGAACTATAAAAGATAATAATAATTTTAAAAATAACTTGCTTCAGTTAAATACGAATTCAGAGACAAATTAAATTAAAATAATTTAAGAGTCCATCATTTAGTTTGTTTACGTAGTTATATAAAAGCTTAACAATAGTCATCAATATTTATATCTTGAATAATAATATTTAAATTCACAGATGCATACATTTTTAGGCACAGTGTAGAAACTTAAAGAAACGTAACGATAAGTTCGTTTTGGATGTGGTTTAACTTAAAACAACATTTCCGGAAGATTTTAATAATTTGTTAGGTTTTACCATATTTTTGTTTGGACATTGAGATGAACCCTAATTCCTAAGACTTGGAAAATGTAGAAAAGAGAGTTATTAAAATGTATCAAATTCAATTAATTTGTTAAACTATTTTTGTTGTTCTAAACATTTTATGGTATCACTAGGGATCAAAAGATTTTCATCAACATTTTAAGTTTTTAAATGTATTTTGCTGATTCCAGTTTGTTATATACGCTATGATAATTTCATAGTAGAAAGTAAACATTTTTAAAGAAAAAAAGTTTGATCAAACAATAAAACATTAAAATGCTATTTAATTATTTTTTTGAAAATAATAATTCTTCTTCTGGTGCGTAAATGATATCGAAGTTATAGTCAGTTTAGCTGTTTAGCACTTTAAAGTGGTGCCTTCTTAACACCGTCTTTTAGAATAATATTATTTTTTAAATTTGTATTTTGTTTGTCGTTTTATATTAATTTTTATACATTTTATTATACAATTAAGGCAATACGAATACAGAATTATTATGCTAGACTTTAAATCGGTCGACTGGTGGTAAATAATTTCCAAGGTACCATCAATATTAATGTTCACAAAACTGTCCCAAAATAAAATACTTGTCGACTGAAGTATGTTATATCTACGGGCAATATATTATTCATCAAATTTGATCAGATATTATTGTAAAATAGCTGAATAGGGGCAGTGTCCTTTTTTTAGCCATAAAAATCGTTTATTGTGTGATTGGAATAAATTTACCCCACGGGCCACGTGACTACACAGTACACAGTATATTTTTTATTTTTATATATTACTTAGTAGGTACCTTTGGTCTATATGTTTTGTAAATCAACATAAGAGTCTCTGGTGGGTGGAAAAGTGGCTTCCTTAACCACGTCAATTTGCAGATAAAATATTCTTATTGTGCATTATATATTTATATGAATAGATACAAAATGATATGTGTGATGATTACTGATGAATGATGATGGTTTATATTTTAATTAAATAATAATAATAATAGGTAAGCATATGTATGGGTTTAAAAAAAATTAATTATACACTTATTCATGTATATAATTATGATAAACTGGATTACATAAATCATGGTGCTGTATAGTATGTTTTTCTGTTTTCTCAGAATTATGATAAAATAATTGCATGCTTTGTTTTTTTGTTTTGTTTGGTTTTTAATTTAATTTTTTTTTGTGGATTATGAATTCTCTGATTATGTATGTGTATATTTTTTTGAAGTGTTCTTAAAAAATATAAATTGTTGATGGATGTGATTTGTAAGCACTGAAACTAACTGTTGAAATGAAAAAAAAAGTTGCTCATAATTATTTTTCACAATTTAGATAATCCGTAGGTAATTAAAACAGATTAAACGTGGAGCAGTTAATGACTGGCGCTAAAAACGGCTAATATTTGACTTTTTCTTTCTAAGAGAGATGTATAAACACTATAATATCATATTATTTAGTATGTTGCTATTATATGTGTTTTATTATTTATCAGTTCAGAAAAATAATCATAAATTTGTATTAACTATTATCATACACAATACTGTGACCGCAAAAACTTACCATACACCCTTAGAGTGCCTTCTGAGTTTCCAATGGAGTTAGTTGATATGCAGTTGTAGGTCCCTACATCTGTTTGGTCGAACATCTTGATAACAATATAGTAGGCAGCCTTGTAGCCAGATATTGTTTCTCGAAGAATGTGCTTGGGTCTGTGGACAAAATAATTGCAATTTAAAGTCTATCATATTATTAAAGTGATCCATAACGGTATGAACGTTTGAACCGTTTGAAAGTTTACATAACATAGACACATAGTGATAGCTGAACAATTCCAAGAGAATTGAAGTAGAACGGTCAATTTTAAGGAAATCCAAGTAGAATGATACTACAGTTTATTTTAGGTACCTACCTATACATAATATTCGTATACCACGGTTGTGAACTAAACACGAAGTTTGTTGAACAGGTATAATATTTATCGGTACCTACTTCCCCTGACTCATTACTTAAACTAATTACTTAGGGCAAAGAGCAAGTACAAAACATAATTATACATATTATATTTTATATTATAACAATTTTTTTTTCATAAAAGAATAATACGTATTTAGTTACCTACAAAATCAATATGGAACGCAATATTTTAAAATATTGAGAAAATTAAATATGGACTGCGACTTTACTTTAACCATAGTTTGCTGATTAATTATGATTAATTAAAAATAATAAAAACGAAACTACTCTTGAAATTATATTTTTTACATTTCTCTGTTTTTCAGATTGGTTACTTATGAGAAGGAGAAGAATGAGAACTTAAAAAGGGGGCATAAAATACAATTTATAAAAATTAAACCACTACTTAAGTACTACTTCTATTAAGTGTATGGAACTTCAAAGGATTAGATTTTAAACGCATCAGCAGGTAAATTGGCAAATATTTATGGTGTTAACCATAATAATATATTATATTGCGTTTGTCATGTAAAGTATGTACTTATTTGAAGAGTAAAAATATAATTTATATCCTCTATAAAAAGCTTATACTATTATTAAATAAAGATTAAAAAGAATAATGCGTGTCAAGGTATTATTTATTCTAAAATTTACTGTTTATTATTTGTACCTCTAGTAATACAAAAATATGCAAAATTAAAAATAGGTTCTTAGAAATTTCGATTTTGGGTTTAGTATAAAACAAATCAATGGTTTTTTATACAAAAATATAGCTGAAGAAAATGTCAATTTCTGAATATGATTCTAATATTGAGTTCTTAATTCCTAACAATCGTAAAAAGGATTCAAACAGTTCTCCAACTACCTTATTACTCCATAAGTTTTGCTATAACTTCTACGACAAGTTGCGTACACATTTGGAGGCTAATAAATAGCCATAAATTTATCCAATAATGTACAAACATTTTATTACATGTTCCAATACCTTTACTTAGGATTTGATTTATTTCCAGTGATTGTACTTTATGAAAAAAAGTAAAAATACTACTCCATAACTTTACGTGGTCATTTTTTTTTTATCAATTCTACCGAATGATATATATGAAGACATTTAAAATCCACCAGCTATTTTTATTTTGATGTATTTTTTTGCGACAAGAACTTAGGGGCACTATAGAAAATCAATTGAAGTACCGAACTGCCGTAAATAATTCATCTGAAAATGTCCTTTCTTACCTTTTTATTTAGAAAGGATTACAGGAACGAATTTTAAGTCCAATAACCATGTAGGTTGCACGTGAACAATTCCATGAAATATTATTTTCAAAATCACAGTTCTATAAGTAAAAATTGTTTGATCATTATAATAATGTTATGGTTTTTTAAATATATTAATTCTACTAATATTAAATAGTTATAGCTGTTATTATTAAAATTGGTAAGTTTTGGTATTTTTTAGTTTTAACTCATTTAATATTTTGATTTTTTCAATTATTTTATTATTAGTGATTTTTCTTGAGATACGCTGGGTAATTATTAATTAATTTTAAATAATGATATTCAACTATAAAATGCTATTATTGTTACCGGGTTCTGGTAATCGTCGCGTACGCGATAATGAAGCGTGGCTAATTTATTAATATTTTTTTCTTTCATTAAATAAGCTTATTGTACGTAATTTTTGGTGTATATTGCTTATTTTTTGTTTTTTAAATAATAATTATACGAAAATTATGTTAATTTTTATTATAATCATCGTTTAACACATTTTTTGGGAAGTTTGAGTTATGAACAAGTTTGTTTTAGGGATGAGAAATATACAAACAATTTAACGACTGTCGAAGAATTTAAAATAAAAAAATGGTAGCAATCACTGTTTTGACGTCACGATGGTAAAAGTGGTTTTTCGGCCATGCTTAAAACTAGGTTTCCAGTAAGTAACTATGTACAGTGTTACTGCTTAACACTAGTGGTTACTAGTAGCTAATTAATGTTACTAAAAGACTAGGACCAATTTATCTACTAGAAGGTAACTAGTGTTATTGCTCAAAACTAGGTTTCTGTATGTTGTCGCTTATAATGTATAATGCATATCACATGGTTGAATGGAGTGTGAAGACGTCACTAGTAGAAAATAAGTTCAATCTACAGCACTTGTAAACCAATTCCCGAAAAATCCATCCAATACAGACGATGGCGTGTTTAGGGTTATTTACTACACTCTCGAAATTTATTGATGTTCAGACTAATGATATATTTCAGTGATTATCACAAAATAAATAATAATTAACAATAATTATAGTCGTCTATAATGCGCATACAATTTACTTACACAATTATTATTATTTGCTTAGTATGTATTTCTATTTTTTTAATCAGGCATGAAATAATACACTTGAATGACACGTGTCTAGATTTTTAACATTCACAAAATATAATTACGTCATCAGACTAAAGAAAAAATAAATCATTTTTGGCGTATAAAGCGTTTTCAAAATTAAAAAGTATAATTGGAAACGTTATTAAGTTACGAGTTTTTTTTCCGGTACAAATTTCGTGTGACATAACTTATTTTGGGATGTTCTAATAATTCATTTTTATTCAGTTACGACCTCGTAGTTTATCCTGTATACGCGTGTGCCATTGATATTAATATGTTAGCGGGTATAACCGAATTTAAATTTGGAAAAAGGGCAACTGCCATTTATTATATCGGGCGCCATACCTGTTCTCTACGCGTCAGTTACACACCGAGAGTGTGGATATACTCATATATGTAGTACGTGCACGAGGGTTATTAGTTTATTACTTATTTAGAGTGAAGACAGTACATTGATTGTGATAATAATTATTATTATTATTATTATTGCCGTTGTTAATCGAAAGCAGCTCGGTGACAGATGTAATTCATTCTGTTTAAAATTTGCCGTGGCTCGATTAAGCATTACCACCTCCCGAGTATCTTTAAATCAGAAAACGGTCCGAGGGTGGATGGGGTTATATTATGATTAGAACTACCTATAGGTAACAGTAACCCACTACACTACGGAATTACTGTTTAGTGCACGTTACCGTGACGTTAATTTGGTTCAAACTTCTAATGCGGGGTTAACATTAAGAGTTTTATATCTTATTTCCCCAAATACCAAAAATGCCTATTAAAACATAGCTACGTATTGTATTAGTTTTGTTTCTATTTCTTTATTATACATTATCTGATAAAAAAAAAAAATTTTGTTTTTAATTTCTTCTTATTTTTGCTAAATAAACGAATACTAAAAGTGATCCTTAGCTCACTACTGTATAGTCGTATGCAAAAATCGTGTAAACAATGAACATTATTACAACCATATTGTACATGGACAGAGTAAACATATTTGAAAATACACGATGCTAATTTATTTTTGTTTTTTTTAAATTTGTTTTATGGACAGATATTTTTATGCTACCATTATATCACAAAAATATGCTAAAATTAATTATAAAGGTTACATTTTTTGAAATTAATTTTAAAAGTCAATTCATTCCATTCAATAATCAATATTCATAATCTCGATGAAAAACGACATTTTCAAAGTTTTTTTTATACATTATAATGATCTAATGATTTTAGAACAATACAATTTAGTAATTTAGTGTAGTATTACTGTTTGAAAATGTTATTTAATCAAGAGTTGTTTTTTCTAGACTTTTTCCTCTGATATTTATTTAAACGTAGTTATTTTAAATACGGTGTAATTGTTTAAGTGCTTGTATTGAATTTTTAAAAATCCAAAAACCACAATGTTTTATATTTCATTACTCACAGTTAATGAATACATCGATCTTAAAGAGATTATTCCAGGAATTTTGATAAGTGGATATTTATAAGGTATAGTTATTTATTTTGAAATAGAAATCATCGGTTGTTGAGTGTGTTGTACCTACAAGTACTACACTATAAAAGTCGAGGTTAATTTATGAAAGGAATATACTTAGCTGTACAATTTTAATCTTCCATTGTGAAGAGGTCGATTTTTGCAATATAATTATGGGTATTTGATATAATGACTTGTGTTTAAGCCCCTAGTTATTAAGTTATTTGAAAATGCACACGTCTTTAGTAATACTGAAATCCAAAAGTCACTAATAAATACGTATCCTATCCAGTTTTACGTATATACATTTTACCTAATCTTATGTTACTTTATCAAAATAGTTGGTTTATACTATTTGTGACAAATTCATGTTTTTAAATAATATTGAAATACTTTATAATGATAATTTTCTGCAAGTATTTTTTATTTATCAAGCATTTATACGAACATACTTCACAATACCTTTATAATATAAACTTTTAATATTTACAATAAAAACGTAAGTATCATCTTTAGAAATAAAAATTTGAAACATTATGCGGGGAAAAATATTTATGTACGTTTCATAAATATAAAAATAAATTCGATTTATACAAAGTTGAGATGATTACTGAATTACGCTTAGTGTAACTAATTTACTATGACCATAAATTCGATAAATAGTATTTTGGTTTATTATTTTGTTATATACCTAAATACAACACATGTTGAAGTGGACTCGTACACTAACTCGTACAAGGCGATAATATAAATGTTTGCCACATTTATAGCTATGTAAACAGATAACTTTTAAATCAGTGTGATAAGCGAATTAGTAGGATTATGCAGTGTATTAATAGAACCAATGGTTCAATAAATAAACATAGATTACACTATTATTTGGTATTTTTTGTGCTAGT